ATATTTTTAAGAATTTCTATACATGCAACGAAGTAATTGTATGCGCAATGTCAATTTCAAATAAAAAGTAATTTATCACTCACTGATACGATTCGCAACCACAGAATTGTACATCATGTATGTTAAACTGTAAAAATACAAATATGTATATGATTAGTATAGACTAATTCTGTCAAATCGAAATTATTGTACTAAATATGCTTCATATTTTATATTTTTAAAAATAGGTATTTATTAAGATAATTATATAAAATACTGAAAAAGTCTTCCTTTTAAATATAAATTCACAAAATTTTATACATTGGTTTTGTCTCTAACACTTATTCGACTCCTCGTTCGAATCATTTGAATAAATAAAATAAAAACACAGAACAGATGCTTTATTTTGCACAAGTAACAATTAAATAACATAAAAATGTAAGACACTTACCTTACGATTTCTCCGCCGTTGCCCGATGCCTCCTCGGCCTCCTCCTCCTCTCAGATTTCCTTGTTGTACTTACACAACACTCACTCGCGAAAATCATCGATCGCGCGAAATTTCCGGCACTCCCGTACGCGATGTGAAATACCGCGAACACACGAAATATTATTAACTTCTGCGTTATCGGTTTCGGAGACTTTCTGTCATACAAATTACTCAAACTAACAACTTGCATTTTTGATTCGGAAGAATAGGACAATGGATAAATCATTTTCGAATTGGCGATATAAAACGCAACGCGAGCATCGGAATCATAATCTGCAGCAAAGAAATAATGTAACGACGTGCAATAAGCGACTTTCTTTACTTCCCGCCCGTTCGAGTTGCGAAGAACGACAGAGCGAAGTCGTACAAATTTCTCTTTTTTCCCGAAAATGGAACAGATTACACGAAATCGACAGATAATTAAAAGCGCGGTGCGTAAACGAGATGTAACCGCGACAAAGTACCACGGTTTACATTCATATTTTAGATGAGTTAATCTCGTGAAATATCTAGGTACACGTTGATAAAGAACCGCCGCCTCAATATACAATTCGTTTCTCTTCGCAAGTTGTAAAAACTTAATGATTAATCAAGGAACGTTACTTGTTACTGATAAAGGTGTGCAAATCAATAGCGTTTCATCCCTGCATTCAGCGCGATTGAGTCTCGGAAACCGATAACGCAAAAGTAATACGACGCACGGACCGACTCTCGCTGCTGCCTGCCGGCTCGACGTTCGGCGAGCGAATGATAGCGCGGCGACCTTCAGGTACACGATGGTACGCAAAAACATCGTACGTCACCGCGCCGAGTGAAAAACAACAAAAAAACGTTGAAAATTCGTTGGCCCGCTTTCGTCGTACGATACCGCGCCGAGTGAAAAACAACAAAAAAAAAACGTTGAGAATTTGTTGGCCTGCCTACGAAATTGAAAATGCTATTACCTAATATTTCTAATTACTTTGTTCAGTGACTGTTACTACGTTTTGCGTATCATTCTGCGGACTTATTGGTATTGATTAAATTAACGATTAATTCTGTTCAATCGAGAAAATGTTTCGAAACGAAAATCGTTGTTACTTAAATTCTAATTACTAAGATTAGAAATTTTACTTCAATAGTTGATGCATACAAATGTATATTTCTAAATTGCAAATTTTCATTCACTATGAATCTAAAACAGAAGTGAAGCACACCGCGCTTCGAGAAAACCAATCGACATCGCGGAAAAGGTCTCAACTGTTCGATATTAACGACATTTGCGCTGGTAACATCTCTTTTTTAGAAAGGGAAAACTTGGATAGTTTATTCCATGTAACCGTTCAATTTTTAACACAATTAAATAATATTGGCGCAAATTTGCGTTTCAGAACATTTCCTTCATGCCGCACAAGTCTCGGTGAGACCTCTTTACACGCAGCTTCCCAAGAATTCCATCTTCCAAAATTTTATTCAACGAGCGACACAAAAATCCACTCGAGTGATACAATTTCAATTTTATAGAGGAATATCTAAGCGACTGAAATAATTGGCATACACTGTTCTCGAAACTGCTATGAAAATTGTAAGATTACTCGATGTTAAAAATGTAACAACAAATAGAATTCCACACACATAAATATATACTAAAGTTGAATAAAAATATATTTAAATTCAAGATCGAAGCTAAGATCCCGCGAGAGAAGAGAATTTTCTGTACTCTCGTGAGAGACAGAAATCAGAGAAGCTGCTTTTATTACCACCGCACTTTTGAAATGAAACTTGGATAGTTTCTCCCGTGTAACCGTTCAATTCTTAACACAATTAGATAATGGATACTTGTGGAATTCTTCCGAGATTTCTCTGCTTCACTAAACAAGTGATCGCACCAAGTTACGGCTAAAAGAAACGATCCTCGGTTTACAAGACTTGATTCGCTTTAACTGTCGTTAACGCGAAAAGACGAGGAGAAGTACGAAAGGCGCAGATTACTCTACTTCCTTTGAGCGAACGGTGCCAAAGAACGGAGACCGATCTGTATGTTTGACTTCGCCGGAACGTAACCGTTTGATTATACTACGCCCGTCTAATATTATACCTTCGCTGTTCCGGCAGACTCTCGGGCTACATTGTACGCAAATTTAATGCCGCGTAATAGCACATGCGCGCGGCAGGATCTACCTCGGTAATCCCCTTCAAAATTTCATCGACGGTGTTATATGCAAGCCGCACGGTGCGATCGTTAGAACGCATAATAGGTAGCGCGTAAGTCGATATGCTCAATCGCTTGTTATGCGCCAACTACCGATGCAGTTGGGCTCAAGATGCGATGCAATGCTGATTCTCTGACGCGTTGCTGCGTATACACCATAGCACCGCGAGAATTGCTCAGAAAATAGCTTTACCTGCTGGATAAAAAATTTAAATGCGTGAATTATACAAATGTTACGCTGCGCGAATCTACGTAACTTGCATGAACGTAAATTGCATCAATGTTCTGTCAGAAGTTCATTCTAAAACGATAAAAATGCGCAAACTCATCGTCGAAAAGATGAATTTTTGTGTAATAAAGTGCTATTTCATCTTCATCTTGCCCTTTATGTTATGGATGGCTTAACGAGTTGCCCCTCTCATCAAATTCAAATTTGATGGCAATTTTTCCTAGATAGAAAAACACCCAAGAAAATTATTATTCATTGCAAATGTTTAATTTTTAATATTAAGTGTTTTTTAAACAGTTCCCGAATATTTATCCAGAAATAGATATATATATAATACTTCTATTAATTACCATTACAAAATCATTAATTACAGAGAGAAAGCATCTGATATAATAAAAAGAGATTGAAAATTATTTAACCACATATTTTCTCAATATTTAAAAAAGATTAACTCGTGTTATTTTAAAACTTGGAAAGTGTGTGGCTCGTTGAAGTATTTGATTGCGACAATTGACGGCAAGGGACAAAGAAAATATACTAATTATAAGGAATTTTGATGGAAATAATAACTTGATGGTGATTTCGCGTTGACTTGTATAAGACTTTTCTCCCCGACCCCGTACGCCAAATAGTAAATAGCTCTCGCAACGTGGCGAGAATTCTGTAGGAAACCCTCTGGGGGATTTACCACGCCGTTAATTTTACGGGGGTACGGCTGGTGAGAGCACATGGAACAACCTTCTCGAACGTGGAGCATCCACAGGTTGTCGTCTGACCTAATCTGACCTAACCCAAGTGATTAAGGACGTTGAATCAATGGAGACAAGACGAGGAGGTTTCGAGGGCGACGCTATCTCAAATCATTATCCTTTTACCATTATCCATTAAATCATTAGCCTCCTCAAACGAAGAAACTCGTTAAGTTCCATCGAAGCGCAAAATGCCCAACGAAATGTAGAAACCTGATATTTCTCCCAGTAATCTGAAATATTGGATTGATCAAATAAATAGGAAATTTTTCGGTCATCGGGTAGATTGTCGGTCCAATACTGTCATACAAGTTCGAAACGTACAAGCGAAATAAACGATATTCAGTTTTTCACAAAACCGGAACGAAATCCTGTAATATTTTTCATGACGTCAATTTCTCGAGTGGAACGAAGGATTTTTAAGATTCAATTGTACACCATTCTTAAATGTTTGTTAATTCAAGTGTATGAAGGGACAAACTAGTTTTATTAGAGAATCGCAAGACTTTTCGAACTCGGCACTGATTAGACTGAAAAATGTATTTATAATACATTGTACCGCGTACCAATATTGGTCACTATTTGTTTTCTCGAAATATCGAAACTACTTTACAGTATGATCTTGTAACGTTAAATTTATCTCTTACGATCTCTTGGAATAGAAGCTCGTCTCGCTCGTCTGTGACTTGTAAAAGTTGAAAGCGATTAGGTTAGATAGATAGAAAGTCACTGTCCAGAATTTGTAACAATATTGCACAAGTAACATCGCGGAAACTGAACCCGACAGATCCACGTCTCGATAACGATGGAATGAACTATATTTAGGGAGGACAATAGTCTTTTCTCTATTTTCCTTTATTCCGCTCGTCTTGGCAAGACCTCGTTTTTGATCCTCGTAGCCCGAGTCCCCGAAAAGCTTGACGGCAAACGAACGATAACGTTCCAGAAGAAATTTTGGTCTTGGTAGATTCGTTGCCGTACGCTCCGTTGCTCCTAACCATTGGAGGTAGGCTCGCAAAGGTGGAATCAATACGTGAACCTACAACCATCTCTACGTACACAATGCTAGCCGGCCAAGCCCGACGAGAGCAATGTGTATGTACCACCTCGTACCTCTCGTTTTCTCCGCCGACTGTTGCTCAATGGTCGTGGCCCTCCTCCCTGTGTGTGTTCCTCTTTACATCCCTCTTTTCTCCCTCACCCCTTCCATCTCCTCAGCATGTGTCCCCACTTTTATTTGCGCCGATTTTCTTCGCCTAGTATTTTTTGGCCTTCCCTTTTCTCTTACTTTCATGATAATGCAAAATCCTGCCGGGTGAATGCCAGCTCCTCTTTTGACGGCGCGCCTTCATTCTGTTCCAGGAAATTCAGCGCCGTCACTCCATTTTCGAGCCCAGTCAGCGCACGTTGGCCGACACAGTTCGGTAAACAAATGCTCTCGATGTGATTTATAGCTTATGCACTTTCCTCTCCCCATAAAATACTTGCAAGTAGTTGAGTTCCTTCAAATGTGATTGTTCTTCCATCCCATTTTGTTCTTTTTCATCAGCGAAACTATCACCGCTAGTTCGTTATTTACAATTGAGTCGGTAAATGAAATCAAAACTGATAAACAGATAAACGAACCTCTCCATCCATTGCCCGCATATTTTATTCCCACAGAACGCCGTGACAGACACGCCATTTCACAGAAGGCCTCTTGCAAGCTTCGGGATTTAAGTCTATCTTTTTGAGAACGCTCGCAAACAATTTACAGACATCTCGCATTCAGCTCAAATACAATTTGCAGAGTATCAGCATTCAGCTCGTATCCGCAAACCTATATATCTCCCTTTCTTGCGCGTGTGTAACGACAGCGAATCTGTTTGATCTGCAGGAATGGGGAGTGTCGGCAGCAACGTGACAGGGACGACGACGACAGATCCGACGACGTTCCTGCCAGACGCGACGCCGACTCTAAGCGAGCGTGAACAGGTCAAAATCGAATTTTACAAAACGTACGACGTCATGACGGGGGTACGAATCGCCGCGACCCTCGGCGGCTTTTTCAGCTTAATGGTGTTGCTGGTAGTTTACAAGAGCAGGTGATTTTGAGGACCTTGAGACCGGCACTCGCGCGTCCTCGTTGAAATACAATTAGAATATGGTTTATATATTTGCCAGATGCAAAGCGAGCAAACAACTGGAAGACCCGGCTTTGACTGCGGCGGCAGCCGCGGCGGTCGCGGAAGCTGAAGCCGAGGAACGCGCACTCGCCGCCGCTCTGGAAGCGATCGCCAGGTTACCACCTAGACCGGGTCGTGGTCCGAGAAGATCGTTATGCGTTGAGGTATAGTGGAGCAATTGCAATATTTACATTTAAATAATTAACAAATATACAGGCTGTAATATCTCGATCTCACTATAATATATTATATAATATAAAATAAAATAACTCGTTAACTATTGCGAAAATTGCAAAATGACGGAGGACTTTTCGACTCACAATCAGTCTAGTCCGCTCTATCCGTAAATAAGAGGTGAGGCAGGTATTGCATAACACCCTGTATAATATGGTAAATAAAATGAAGTACTTTTTGTAAAAATAAAATCATTGGCGTTGCAACATTAACAAAATCGTCAATGTTCTAGTCTTACTGAGAAATTGAATGACGTATCTCCAAATTGTGCTTCTTGTTTAATATTTGCGAGAAATTGCGAAATACGATGCCAATATTCATTGCCGATTTATGGCAACATTTATTTAATAACAAATATGACGCGGCTGGTGCTTGCTTATGAAAAGATTATATATTGAAGCGTCGCTATTGATTGAATGATGCGGTTTTCAATAAGTAGTACAGTTTTAAAACTTTTCTGGCAGAATGTAAAAATTCTGGACTGACGCCAAAAGGGCTACGGCATGTTTGAGAGAGCGCTCATTTAACAGAGTTACGTTCAGTAACTTGTCCGTTCGCCAAGCACTTATAATTGATGGAAATATTTACATCAGATGAACCAGTCTCGTTCACCCGTGGTGGCACCTCGCTTCGCCTCAGTCGGAGGTGGATACGACGCCCTGCTGGCACCGCCAATCAGGCAACCGAGGTTGGCTCCCCCGGTCGATTACAGAAGATGTAGCTCGGTCACCTGTAGCAGCACTGGAAGTAGTTATCTGGAACGAAGGGGTTCAGCCATGGTAATGCCGTGCCTTCCGCCTCCTCCATCCTACCCGCATCATGCCGCCTACGATGAGCCATGGGACTTATATTACCCCATCGATATCCAGGTAGACTCGACACTTAAGATCTTTCGAAATGATACCTGTTCATCCGAGTTCTTCCCAATAGTCCTGTTTGATGTTGAGAAATTCTCTATTTCAGAACCGGTATAATTATTTCAAATAATTATCGCTTAGATGCTATGAGATGAACTATTATAATTCTACTATAACGCAATGACAGCTTTATTATTTCATTTCAGATTGTAATTTAGCTTACTTTCACTGAAGAAAAGATTTTTCGCTACCGTAGCTAATCATGACTTGCTAAACATATTCTTCTGCATTAGCTATAAGTTTCTAAACCACAGCAAACGGTTCGCACCTAGTACAATAGGCACAGTAACAAAATATTAGCTATCACAACTAAAACATTAGCTGTCCGTAGTTTACAACTGAAATTTATGTTACCACAGTTTTTAGCTTCTTTTCGTGTTTAAGTAATAAAACTAATAAATACAAATAATGGTTAAATCCTTAAAAATTCTTTTCGTTAAAGACTTTTGAAATGCAATCAGGTAATACAGCCAACTCCGGATTTATCGCCGTGCGGTAGCGAGGTCGGTCTTTATGCCGGGGCAGTCGGCAGCCTTATGGCGGCGTCGTCGGGTAGAAGAGCGCCGTTGGCATCGATGGGTAGCGTGGATCCTCCCGACCCAGACACCAGGTCGCTCGGCTCCGATTCCGTCTTCCTAAAGAACGAGGACGAGGAGCAGTGCATCGACACCGAGGACGAGGTCTCGGGTTTCTCCACGGACTCGGACGCGCCTGGACCCAGCCGTCGGCGGTTCCTACGGGTGCCTTCTAGGAAAAAACGGATCCCCGAAAAATGGGACGGGTGCGCGGGCTGCGTGCCCAGGCGACGAGCCGGTAATAAACCCTGCCAAGAATGTTTGACCATCAGTGCCGCTGTCGAAACCTTCAGGTAAATTTCTATTACGAATTCTCCTACAAAGGAAGAAAAATAAAGAGACCGCCGCTGTTGTTACGAGTCTAAAGCGGTAAAATTCTAATACTCAAACCAAGAACAAACACGCGCAAAGGTAAATAATCACAAAAATACCAGGCATTCCGATTCATTTTCAATTCTTTTCAATACAACAACGGGATCGAAAGAAGAAACATACACAGCTTATTTTTATTGCCAAGAAAATGCCATGAAAGAACATAATTCTATTACTTGTTATAAATTTTTATATCCCTACACTGAGAAAAATGTCCGATTAAATATAATCGGATAATCCAATTACATAATAACAAACGGATATATTCAATTAAAATATGATCGGTTTTTCGATTATGATTCTATACTATTTACTATACTACATTTTACGATTATGATCTATACTTTTCTTACGATTGCATACGAAGACACGTAATTTTTTTTATAATGAATAAACTTGTAATAATAGGTCGCAACCACCCTCAACGACAACCAGTAGCAGTCAGAGTAGCGTTGGATCTCCACCGTGTTCACCGCCGATCGAGCTGAGGCACAGACCACCACCAACGCCATTACCATCAGTCCCGCCAATATGGTCCCAAGAAACGCTCTTTTAGAATGCGTTTTTCGTAGTGAGCATGTCCCTCGACCTGTTTTTATCGAGACACGAAGCTAAATCCAGAATGTCGATATCTGAGGAAATCATTTGCCCGAAAAATTGCTCTGGTCTTCTATCTCTAAAAAAAAAATCATCTCTTCCTTTCTTGGATCCCGTCGCCATTAAAATGTACAATACTTTACGTGGATTTGAAGATCCAATTGTTATATCGGTCAGTGAATTCGACTACGATTCACGAATGCAACGTCGCGATGAAATCGTTACAAAAGTATTTTCGTAAAATCTAAATTTTGCTCCAACAAAATTGTATCGCTGTGCACGCCGTAATCTTTACGAGTCGCAAGAACAGATGGAAGCTACGTAAAGGATAAAAGTTAACCGACGACGAGAAGAAACGGAAGAAGCGTACGAGGGAGACGTGGGGGAATAACGACGGGAAGCATTTTTCGTCCGGGCGGTGAGGAAATATCGGAGATTTTCGATATTACGGCGGCGACTTCTGTCCCGGAACCGGAGCAAACCCATCTTAAGGTAGTCGAGATCGAAGGCATTTTACGTCGACTGTATGGTACACTCCATGGCAAGCATGAAACTCGGGGGTCGGATTAACCCTCCCCCCCCCCCCCGCCGCGCCCCCGGTTTAAAGGACGCGTCTGCGAGCCGCGAGACGAGGCCGACGGTGACTTGGTCTAACTATACTTGAGATCTCATCTACCGACGTATTTCAAACGTCTGCCTACTCCATCGCGCTCCAGAATAAGTTGGCGAACAATGCACGCGCGGGCGCGCGCGGTCGGGTTTATCTGAAAGTTCACGTAACTGCATTGTGGATGTACCCGCCAGCATCCCGACGTGCGCGCCCGGAGAGACAGCGCGCACAATTTATCTGGCATCGCAAGCCGGCGGCGCGGCTCCGCCGCAATCTTATTTAGCCGCACGAGATTGGGCGGCGTCATTATTTTCCGTCACCGAGCCATGCACCCTCTCGGCAGAGCTCCCTCCGCGCGAGAGCGTCCCCCACAGTAGCACGGCCAGACGCACATCCGCGCGATCCGTTTAACAACGAAACCAAAAGCAAATGCACTTCCTCGCTTAAGACATTCGCGGCGTCCCAAATTGGCGAATTTCGGGACAAGGGCGCACGGTGATCTATATCGCACAAAGGGATATCCGGAGAAACTCGTTTTCCGATCGATCAGGGTGAACCCGCGTTAAACTCGCAACTCAGGAGACTGTCGAAGGAAGGGGCCGATCGACGATGCGGGGGAGAAATAGGGAATTATTTTTATACAAGCGCGACGATAATCAAGCTCGTTGAACTGATCGTGATGCTTCTCGTGGAAACAATAATACGCGCGCAATACTCAATTGTATGACGTCAGTGTAATATGTGATTGTCAACGAGACGAGCGGATGGGAGAGTGAAACAGAAAGAGAGAGAGAGAAATTTGAGAATGAGAGAGAGAAAGAGAGAGAAAGAGAGAGAAACGAGGGAAGTAGCACTTTCGTTCGGATAATCGTCGAATCGGCAGGGAAAAACCGATTCGCCGTCGATCCGACGTTTCTCTAACGCGAGGAAAACAAAATGTATTTCTATTCGTGTAATCTTGTAAGCTCTGTAAGGTTTTGGGTGTACGTGTACGTGTCTATAATCCTCTTGCGTACGATAGATAAACACCGTGCTCGATGGAGGGGAACCGGAAACAGGGCGATTGCCGTAAACGTTCTCGCAAAAAGAAAAAAAAACGGCCAGCCAAAGTTGCCAAAATTCCCTGATCGCCGTACTTTGGCAAGGCGGTCCATTTTATCGGTCGTTTCGCCGAGTTGCTTGACAAATTTCTATCCGGGCTGGAATATCGGTCGATCGGATGTTCCGCGTAAGCAGAAATTCCCTGCAATCGGGTCTGTACATAATCGAAAGGAAAGATACTCGGAGAAGAGAATACGAGAGAAACTACATACGAATTCAGCTCTTCATCCCCCGTCAATTCAGTGATATTAGCTGACGAGAAGCTCGCTGGGTGTAGAAAATCGAATTTATTAAAGTGTTAGAGCGAGTCGCGGTGTAAAGGGCAAAAGCAAAGACATAGTAGACATATTTATCGTTGGCGAGAGCGACTTGTGTCTATTTTCGATAAAAGATAAAAACGTAGCTGAACCAGTCGAGCCATATATGCCTCTACGTCTACATCTGGAGACTTTTCCGCGGAGGCTAACATCACTGCCGGTCAGCCCCTCCAGGCACACGACGATAAGCGAATTAAAAAAAAAGCAGAAAATACACAAGTACTTTGCGTATAAAGGCAAACCGGGCGCACGAGGACTACCTACCATTGTTCTAGCAAAGAGTTTGTATAGTAGACGAATAAGACGAGCCGAGAAGCTATTATAATCGGGATACAAAAAAAAAGAGGAGAAATATGTAATAGGCGCCGCGCACGCAGTGCTGCGACCGTTACTTTTAGATAGGTGTACATATTATACATACGTCGTGTTACGATGCGTTACGTTGCGTTGAGCTTATGCGACAGCGACTCGCCCTCGCCGATCGACCAAGAGCGGAGGGGAGGCGAGACCCTAACGTCGTCCACATGAAGGAGAGACTTTAACATTACTTTGGCTGCGTTCCAAGCTTCGCCCCGGAGGTACGAATTTAACAAGCCGCAAAACAAGACGCGAAATACGAGGAACGCGGAGAGGATATGCGGCCGGACGACTGTATGAAACTACAGACCCATGTAATTCCCTTTAATAATTTATATACGACTATCCGTTACACTCTCTCTCTCGGCCATTAGGTACAAAAAGAGAAGGAAAAAGCCAGCTTTTCCGGACCTAAGAGATTACGAGAAAGTTTCTCGGAGACAGAAAGGAGAGGAGAAAGAGAGAGAGAGAGAGAGAGAGAGAGAGAGAGAGAGAGAGAGAGACGGCGAGAGGTGTCCAAACTTCAAGGAGTACACGTAAAAGTTTCGTGATAAATAAGGGAAGTCCCTAATTGGATATCGTATGCCTTATTGAATCATCATTATATACACGTGTGAGGACCGACGTTTCGCTTGAGAATTACGATAACGTCGTGATAAAGTAGTCGTCACACAGGAGGCGAAGTTTTAGAACGCGGCTGTAGGAGACTAACGCGTGGTCTACAATGCGAGTCTCGAAATCGTAGTCGTAAAGGGCTGTGTCCACGATGCTTGGACCAAGTTCTAGCATCGTGGACACAGGTCTTAAGAATAGTCGACTTACAACAGTCGATTATTCCTACGAATGCGACTCTGAGACTCGCATTGTAGACCCCGCATAAAACAGAATTATTACTACCGCGAGGTGCGCTTTGCTATACGCCGACACGCCGACGAATTCGTTCCGACCGGGTTCCTTGCATTCAAACGTGCCACCCCGTCTTCTCCCCTTCGATAAACGATACGATTAGGACGAAATCTATTCACGATTCCCTCGAAAATCTCTGGCGTTAGTCGCACACGTGTGCATTAGTGGAGGAAAGTTCTCTTAAAATTTATCCTGAAAATCACGTAATCGTGGAACAATATGGCATTTCAAAGAATGTTACGAGAGTTTTTTGAAATTTTACTATACATTGAAATGGTAAATTTAAAAACAACTCTCATAAAGTACTTCAAAATGTATGATTTTCACGGTAGATTTTAAAAGAAAGTTCTCTCCGTGCATTATCTGTTGGTTCCACCGTGAATTTATTGCCCTTGGAGTGAAATCTGTTTAGTGAAAAATAAGATTGTTAGATCGTGTAATCGTCGCGAAAAACGATTTGTGATTGAATTTGGACGTTGAAAACCTGCTGTCCCATATTGGAATCCTATCTCATAATAGAGAACTTTCCTCTACGAATAACGAAAGATGCATCATATAGCTCTGCCATAGTTGTCAACAGCGTTGAAATAACGAAGATAATTCCCGCGCGACGTCGTAAAAGTAAAGATTAATCTCCCCCGAATTCAATACGTGATTCTCGTTTGTATTCTTATCGAAGCGATTAACCGGGAACAACGTTCTCAGCGGCGCGCGGCGTACAGCACGCCGTCCCGTAGTCGCGTAAGACAAGGAGCTTGAAAAACTCGCGAGTGCTGCCGAATTGCCAAATGTAACAATCAAACAGTGTCTAGTTGAAATATAAAAATTCAGAAAGAGCCGAGGATAATCAATGCGGATATACATATACGCGCGAATAGATGCGTGAGTGCGCGAGTGTGCGTGCGTGTGCGTGTGCCAAGTAGTTTAGCACAATTTTAGGCGGGCGGAACGTATATACATATATATTATACATAAATAGGGCGAGTGCGAGACTTTTTAGAGACTGTACACGAACGAGTCCGTGTCGATTGATTTTAGCATCTAACGTTCGTACAACCACGTGAACCTTTTCTCGGTGCCTTTCTGCTGCACTTCTTCCATCGTCGTTTAGAAAAATATACACTCTCTTCACTATCCTCATTAACCATTCTCCTCTCTATCTCTTTTCCCTTATACCCGCTCCATTTTAGGAGTGTTTCCGCGCGATGCCGCAGGGAACTTGAACGTATTAAACTGAAATCTGCTCGTTTTCTTTTTTCGACTCAATTCTTTTATCTCTCGCTAAGAATATTAGAAATAATTTCGTTACAACATTGTCCAAAAAGAGAAGTAATGACGGAATAACATATTTACGAAAAGCATATTTACTAATTTTGAAAAGGTTGTATTTAATAATTATTATTTTGGTTAAACTTGCTCGCAGATTCCAATTAGTTGTTAATGTAATAGAGTTAAAAATATAATTTTCTTTTCAACTAAATACTAAAAAAAACAAGATTTTTATGGATTTTTATTATTTCTGTAACGTGGTTATGCAGACAATATCGTCATGAAATTTTTGTTCGATTTAAATTCCGATTGTTTGCTTGAAATTCTCAATTTAAATAATAAATCCAGAATAAATGAAAACGGATCTGTTGGTCGTGTTATCACGAGTATTGGGAAAAAGTTATAATCTATTTTAGTAAATAGTTATATTGCAACCAATTTTTTCGATCCAAAAATAGCGCTTTGTTTGGAAGTAATATTTTACACTACGCTGAATATTTTTCAAAGCTAGCTAGAGAAAAAACGATAAAAACCGCAGTGGTGCGGCTGCACGGAACCTCTCTCATATTAACGATTATAGACCTTCGTACTTTTATAATTTTTCTACTCTTTAACATTAGATACTTTTAAGAGTAAGGAACTGTTACTAGAACTCGCGCCTAGATTCACTGAGTATATATTGATAAAGATAATTATACAACTTCTCTTGTCTTGAATTACTCGTCTTAGACATCGCATTCTCTTCTCGTTATATTACTTTCTCAAAAACACTCATTATTAAAACTAACAAGTAGAGAATCATTTCTTTAGAAACGCTGTTTACTTAAAGTTTCGAATAATTAATTTCAAAGATACTACAAACTCACTGCGGTGATGTCAGTCAACAATTATTTTTCTTCATTAGCGCAATTTTCATCTCTCTTTTCCTCCTTCTTTTTACAATTACAAATTATATTCACTTTGTCAAAGTAA